TCCCATTCTCTCCCAGCCCATCCCTCAACTTGGGACTCAAACCCATCAGACTGTGAACATCCCCTAATCTGATTCAAGCTCCCTACTCCTCAATACTTGCACTGCGTGCTCTGGGACCCTGACATCTACAAACCCCCCTGCATTCTCCATCACTTCTTTGAATGCTTCCTCCCTCCTTAGTCTAATGGAAACTTGGCTTTTCCACAGGAACACGGCTTTCTCAATACCTGCAATATCCCAGTGCACACAGGAAATACCCAGGAAATGCTGAATACAAGAATGACTCATAGTGTCATTAATAATACTTTAGACTTTGGGCAGAGGAACAAGATAACATGAGAGAATGATGGATGTTGGTAAGATATTCATGTGTAAGTGCCAAGTCTTCAGATCAGGTGAAAGACCATGGCTTATGATATTGATTAGACACCGATTTCAGAATCATCAGCAAAGAAGTGAGAGTCATGACTATAACCTCTATGCAGAAATTGATGAAAGAAAAGAGATTGCATGCTAAGCTTCAGTGGACACTTACTTGCAAAATAAGAGAAAGATTGAGAACCCTCAAAAGGCAGAAAATACAGAGATAGAGACATAAAGGAAACAAAGAAAGAAAAAAAGACCAGTTCATGGAAACTTAGAGAAGAGAGTGGTGTTCTGTAGCACTGGTCACAAGCAAAATCAATTGTTCTATATTTAGCTGGAAGAAACAGAACATGTTCAGTGAGTGAATTTGGAGGAGCATTTGGACATTGTGAAGAAAAAAATAAAAAAGAGGAAAAAACAAAACAAAATGAGGAGGAACAAGCTGCAGATAAGGATAGGTAAATTTGGTGGCCCTAAGGAGGCAATGGGCAACTCCACTGCTGCAGTCTAGCCAAGTAAATCAGAGAAGAGAACAGATAAAAACTTTCCTAAAGGAAAGGGCCACGGCAGCACAACTCCACCCTCATATGAGGAATAAAAAACTCATAATCATATGCTGCTTATAATACTTGGGGGCAGAGAATCCCCACTCCTGCTAGCTCCATATTGGAAGGAGTCCTGGAGAGTAGAGAGTGAGTCAACTGGTAGATGAAAGGTAAGACAATAAGGGGATGATGGTAATGCAAGGTGGATGAAAGGAATCGAATGTCAGCTTGCCTCCATGCTGGGCACACTTAGATGCTGTGGATCAGCTGTATCTCTTTCCAACTTCAGTTAAAAACATGTTTGTGGCTATACTTTGCCTCACCTATAATTCATGGTCCTCAGCAGTGTACAGAAGAAAACGCAATGTCTTTGCTCAGTGGTGTGCTGGAAACAACTGTTTGATTTCTGTTTGTTTGTGATTTTTTCTTCACTTTTTTAAAAAACAGGCCTAACTAGTAAGTGCTGATTTCCATTATGTGAATACTCCTGCCACGACCAATTTTAAGGTAACAACATGATGTCCCTGAAAGGGGACCTGAGTAGAGTTGTGGACACTGGGCTCTGTAAGGTAGTGTGGCTGGAGACAAGTGTAACTGGTTTGGGCTGGGGCTGGTGCAGGCCATTTCCAAAAGGCCGTTAGGAGATTCTCTGTGTAGCTAGGTCTAAGAACCATTACTTACTTCAAGTAGTGCTTAACAAACTTTTTTTTTCCTTGTAAAGACCTGAGCTGACTTCTCTAGTGCTTATCAAACTTTAATGTGCGTGTGAAACAACTGAGAACCTTGTTAAAATGCAGGTTTTGACTCAATAAGTGCTGCTGGTCCCCAGAAAGAAAGAGGAATGGACTAAAAGAAAAATAAAACAGTCATTCACAGCCTTACCATTATCGGAAATATTTGAGAGAGAGGCAATGTAGAGATGTCACAAACTGGAAGTCCATGAATTATCTGTGACCAAGCCATAAAGATGCTTTCTTTTACTCGATTGCATTATACTTTTGGATTTGACTTAGAAGTCAGCATCATAAAAATCTGTATTGCCAACTTTTCGGAAGGAGAGGTGGGGAAGCAAGAACAACACCAAAAGAGGATGTGACAATCCGGGGCACCACTCCAGCATGCTGCAATCCTGCCCCCTTCAGAGGAGACAGAGTCTTTCTTTTGTCGCTGTTGCTTCCTGGTGATCTTCATTGCTTTCTTTCTGTTTCCTACCTCATCCCTGAAGGAATCTGGGGGGTATTCATATTTTAGGTTTTTACATAATTACATATATATATATATGTAATACTTTCCTCCCCAGTTGCACTACTTTTCTGTCTCATTTCCTGCCGTTCCCCACATACAAACTGTGCATTCTTGCAATGCCTTGCATGGTATTCTTGGAATACACCATCTTCTTTCTTCCCTCCAACTTGGCACTGACCCCTGTTCCTAGAACACACTCCATCCTCTGCTGGAAACAGTCTAAATTATTCTCTGAATTATTCTTCAAGACCTAGCTTGAACATCACATCCTTGAGGAAGCCTTCCTGATTATTCTGTGCTCCTAGAGCAGAGTGGATCCTCTTTCTATCAAATCCTCTTATTGCTAATTTTGGGACCATCTCCTATTCTCTGAGGTCCTGAAGGGCACAGATAGACTTTACGCACTTTTGTACTCTCAAGGTAGAATACTTTGCCAGATAGGAGATCCTCAATAGCTTTGTAAAATAATAAATTGTGAATTAATTTTTGGCTCTTAGATTACATTCTCTTGAACTTTTCTTTTGTTAATTTATTAAGGAAATTTTGCAATGATTATCCTGTCCTATAATGCACAAGCTAATTCTATTTTCATATTTATCTCTAACCCCTCTGCAAGCTCTCACCTCTCCCTCGCACTTCAATTTTGGTATTATTTACTCAATTTATAAGATTATTATTTACTCTATAAATCTTGTCCCAGATAAACATAGGCCACCCCCAATTAAACACCCCTTAATAGAATTAATACCTTATACTTTCATGGCATGACCAATATTTTTCAAAGCACTTTTACCAACACACTTTATTCTCACACTAACCCTGTAAAATAAATGAGCAATGTATTACTCTCCTTCAGTATTTAGAAGCTAAAGTGAAATGTTCTCCATGAAGTAAGAAGCAGGGAGAAAAGAAAACTTGAGAAAAATCTTGGCAGTTCCCAAATAAGCCCTGAGGATGGAAGATGCTCCATACAGCCTTTCTCGGCCATCATTCCCCAATATGAACAGGAGCTCAAGATCTGACTCACTGCACTTTCTTTCCTTCTTTTTTTTTTTTTTTTTTTTTTTTTTTTTTTTTTTTTTGAGATGGAGTCTTGCTCTGTCATGCAGTCCAGAGTGCAGTGGCACAATCTTGGCTCACTGCAACCTCTGCCTCCTGGGTTCAAAAATTCTCCTGCCTCAACCTCCCAAGTAGCTGGGACTACAGGTGCGTGCCACCATGCCTGGCTAATTTTTTGTTGTTGCTTGTATTTTTGGTAGAGATGGAGTTTCACCGTGTTAGCCAAGATGGTCTCGATATTCTGACCTCGTGATCCACCCGCCTTGGCCTCCCAAAGCGTTGGGATTACAGGCGTGAGCCACTGTGCCTGACCAGACTCACTGCACTTTCAAACATCTCTAATCCCTAATATTTTACTGAAAAATTGAGACTCAGACATGCAAAATTAACATGTATTACAGCCAAAATAGTAATCCAGGTCTTTTGATCCCCACCATAAAATCCCACTTTGCATAATTATTTTCACCTTTACAAATGGAGCTATAATCATCTCCAGTAAAAATAAGCTTCATAAATCTGCTTTCACAAACATTTAGAAATGAAAACTCACATGCTTTTCCCCCAAAAAACAAGTTCTGTATGATGATCAAAAAATACCCCATTAATTTGATGGAGTTAGTTGCACTGAGCAACTTTAAAATGCCCAAATACAATTACTGCATCAGTGTGCATAAGAAAGTCTCTAATTCATAAATCAATGTCTTTCTTTCCACATTGTGTATTACTTTCAAGTCAATGCTCTGTACTCCATGTTTAATGCTTTTCTGAAAATATTTACATTGTAGATTGATAAGAATCAAAGATTTTAACATTCTGACTCACTAATAGCAAACTCAGTTTAAGCTAATGGGGAAAAAAGCAATGCTCACAATCTCAAATTGGTAATGGTAGGATGAAACACCCTCCATGACTTTAAGAGAATTAGTAATGGGATAGAAATAGCAGAGATTGAAGGCATAATGATCTATTTCTCTTACATTTCTAACCATTTTGATGTGGCCACAAGAATACCCAACCGTGAAAATGGGGAGGCCCACAGTGCACCATAAGCACTGGTGAGAACACAACACTACTGCTGATGGGTTTACACCCGGGCATTCTCCAGCTGTGTTCTTGGAACAGCTGGATCATCTGCAGAAACAGGATATCTTTTTTTCCAACCTCCACACACTGTTCCCAACTCAGTGACTCCATCTCTCTTCTGTCATTTTTGTTCCCATTATACGGAAGGACGAGAATGTCATCTCTCATTTTTTAATAGTCAGGAGGGCATCAGTTTTCTGTGTTCCTTCTTCCTGCATGACACTTAATACAATTTTTTAAAGGACTAGTTCAGTATATTTTTACTGTACATGAATTATATTTGTTTTATATTCATAGGTACAAGAAGCTGTCTGCAAGCCACTGGGAAGTGAGGGTGGAGGCTGGGGGAATGAGGAAATGAGATTTTTAACTTTGGTTTGCTCTTTCTTAGAACTTCGCCACCTGTGTTCACTTGGATGTAAGTTTTTTTTGCCGCCTCTGATTCCCGTCCAGCGCTTCCTCCTTGTGGCATAGAGACATACATTGGGGAAAGGCTTGGGAAAGGTCCTGAGCAGTGATGTGGGGAGTCGCACCCGTCGCCACTTATTTCAGCTCCCTTTTCTGTAATTACCAGATTTTTCTCCCCTGGTTTTCTTACTAAAAGTAAGATAAAAAATATTTCAAATAATTAAACAAACCAAAGTTAAAAATCTGCCTGAAAAGCAGAGGGTTAACCGAGAAGGAGCAGGGCGCGACTCTTACCCCCCAGCCAGTTGTCGGAAATGTTCTGGAGCATGGTGACGGGGATGCAGAAGAAGGTGATGAGCAGGTCACTGAGCGCCAAGGAGCAGATAAAGATGTTGGTGACGGTGCGCATGGCCTTGCTGCGGGTCACCACGTAGAACACCAGAGCATTGCCAAAGAGCGCCAGGGCGAAGATGAGCACGCCGGTGAGCACGAGGGCCAGCTTGGCGCGCCCAGGCAGCTCTGGGGTGTAGACGAGCGGTCGCAGCCGGTACAGAGCGATGAACTGCTCCCGCGTCAGGTTGTGGTCTCGCAGCAGCCGGGAGAACTGCTCCGGGGTGATGTTGAGCGCCTGCATTGCTGTGCGCTCCCGGGACGCGGGGCCACCGCCCGCTACTTCCTGGCCATCCGCGGCGCAGGGAGGGCTTCGGGGGAACCGGGAGGAGGCCGCCTCCCCTCCTCGGCTCTGGACTCAGGCGCGCGGGAGGGCTCTCGGCTGCATCGCAGGAGGTTAGGGAAAGGCGAGCAGCTCAGGGATCAAATCCACGATAAACAGGCAGGAAGCCAAAGCACTGGGAAACTCAATCTCAGTGGCCAAAAAATATTCGCGGTTCAAGTAAAGTTCTTCCCCTGCTCTTCCCTAAGGCGAGGCGCCGCGACGGTACGGGGTGATGGAGCGCCACGCGAGGGTCCCAGCGCCTCTCGCTCCCCGCCTTCTGGCCATGCGATGCGGACGCCGGACACGGTTGGGGAGCGGCGGAGGGTGGGGCTGAACTCGGTGACGCCCCCCTCACACCCAGCTTCAGTGGCGCCAAGGTCGCTTCCCCGCACCCTCACGGCGAGGGAAGACTTCCCTGGCTCCCCACCTTGCTGCCGCCCGGCGCCTTTCTCAGGGCATGGCCCCAGTCAGGTCATGCTTATATGTGAAACTGGGTATTGCGGGATTCCACAGTTTCAAGTTTCTCCTCTTGAAAAATAATGGGAGCCACAACTACCCAAGGCAAATAAGGTTTATTTTAAATTATTTTCTGTATTGAAAAATAATTAAGATAGTTAAAATATAGAACGTGGGAAATTGCAAAGATAATACAGAAAGATCCTGTGTACCCACCCTTCACCCAGTTTCCTCCATTCGTTACATCTTAGTTAACTAGGGAACAATATAAAACCAGGAATTTGACACAGGTACAGTGTTTGCGTATTTTTATCTCAAGTGTAGATTCCTGTAGCCATCAGGATACAAACTCTTCTATCACCACAAAAATCTCCTTGGTGCTTTTTATACTCACACCAAGCCCCTCCCTCCACCATCTCTGACCCCTCGCAACTACTAATCTGTTCTCTCTCAACTTTTGTCAGAACATTATATAAGGGAAATCATACAATATGCTTCCTTTTGATATTGAATTTCCTTCGCTTAGCCTAATACCTTTTAAATCCATCCAAGTTGTTGCATGTATTAATGGCTGTTTCTTTTTATTGCTGAGGCTGTATCACCGTTTATTTAACCATCCACCTCTTCTTGTAGGACATTTTGTTTGATTACCATTTTGAGCTATTACAAATAAAGCTGCTATAAAGAATCATGTACTGGTTTTTGTGTGAACATAGTTTTCCTTTCTATAGGAAATACCAAAAGGTTTTGATTATTGAGTCTGTAATGTGTATATTTAATTTTTAAAGAGATTGACTACTTTTCAGAGTGGCTGTACAAGTCTCCATTTCTACCATCAGTGCATGACAAGTTAACGTTTCTCCACATCCTTGCCAGCATTTGGTTTTGTCACTATTTTTTTAAGCTGTTCTAATAGATGTGTGGTGATAACTCTTTAGGGCCTTAATTTACATTTCCCTAATGGCAAGTAATATTGAACCTCTCATGTGCTTATTTGCCATCTTTGTATCTTCGTTGGTGAAACGTCTTTCCATGTGTTTTGTCAATTTCTAATTGTATTGTTTAGTTTATTTGCTGTTGAAAGTTCTTTTTATATTATATTGTACGTACAATTCCTTTGTCAGTAAATGGTTTGCAAATATTTTCTTCCAGTCTGTAACTTGTTATTTATCTTCTTACAGAACAGCTTTTAGTTTTAGTGAAGTCATATTTATCAATGTTTTCTTTTATAGATAGCTTTTAGTGTTCAGTCTAACAACTTCACCAAAGCCTATTTCTCAAAAACTTTCTCTTAGGTATTTTTCTAAAACTGTTATAGTTTTATATTTTATGTTTTGGGAGCTCTATTCTGTTGAATTGATCTATGTGTCTATCTATCCTCCACATTCTTGACTACTGTAGCTGTATAATAAGTTTTGAAATCAAGTAGAGTTATTTCTCTTACTTCATTCTTATTTTTCAAAATTATTGTAACTATTCTCAGACCTGTGCTTATTCATATACATTTTACAATCAACTTGTCTATGTCTACAAAAAACCTTGCTGGGATTTTGATAGGAATTGACATATTTACTAGGTTGGTTTTTCAATCCATGAGTAGAATGTCTTTCCATATATTTAGATCTTTGATTCATTTCAAAGGCATTTTACAGTTTCAGCATGTAAGTCCTGTGCATATTTTTAGATTTGCACCTAAGTATTTCATTTTGGGGGGACATTTGTACATGGTACTGTATTGAATTTTTCATTTTTGGTTCCATGTGTTCATTACTAGTATGCAGAAATCCAATTTATTTTGTATGTTGACCTTGATTCCTCCAATGTTGATGAATTCACTTAATTTTATTAGGAGGTTGATATGGTTTGGCTCTGTGTCCCCACCCAAATCTCATCTTGTAGCTCCCATAATTCCCATGTGTTATAGGAGGGGCCCAGTGGGAGATGATTGAATCATGGGGGTGGGTCTTTCCTGTGCTGTTCTTATGATAGTGAATGGGTCTCATGAGATCTGATGGTTTTAAAAACAGCAGTTTCTCTGCACATGCTCTCTCTTTGCCTGCTGCTATCCATGTAAGATGTGACTTGCTCCTCCTTGCCTTCCACCATGATTGTGAGGTCTCCCCAGTCATGTGGGACTGTAAGTGCAATAGACCTCTTTCTTTTGTAAATTGCCCAGTCTTGGGTATGTCTTTATCAACAGTGTGAAAATGGACTAATACAGAGGGTTTTTTTTTTTTTGGTAGATTTCTTGGACTTTTCTACATAGACAATCACATTATCTGAGAAGAAAGACAGTTTTATTTCTTCCTTTCTGATCTGTATGCTCTTTATTTCCTGTTTTAGTTGTTTGTTTGTTTTTTTGTTTTGGTTTTTTTTTTTTTTTTTTTTTTTTTTTGAGGCGGAGTCTCGCTCTGTCGCCCAGGCTGGAGTGCAGTGGCGCGATCTCGGCTCACTGCAAGCTCCGCCTCCCGGGTTCCCGCCATTCTCCTGCCTCAGCCTCCCGAGTAGCTGGGACTACAGGCACCGCCACCACGCCCGGCTAATTTTTTTGTATTTTTAGTGGAGACGGGGTTTCATTGTGTTAGCCAGGATGGTCTCGATCTCCTGACCTCGTGATCCGCCCGTCTCGGCCTCCCAAAGTGCTGGGATTACAGGCGTGAGCCACCGCGCCCGGCCTGTTTTGTTTTGTTTTGTTTTTTTGCCTTAGCGCAATGGTTGGAGAACACAGTTTACTATGTTAAATGGCAATGGAGAATAGAGATCCTTGTCTTGTGCTCAATCTTATAAGGATGTATTCAGCCTTCTTTCACCATTAAGTATGATGTTAGTTGCAGATGTTCTTTATCAACTTGAGAAGGTTACTCTCTACTCTCAACTTGTGGAGAGATTCTATCAATGGTGTTAAATTTTGTCAAATGATTTTCTGCATCAATTAATACTATCATGTGATTTTTTTCTTCAGCCAGTTAAAATGGTGGATTACATTGATTGACTTTTGAATATTGAATCAGCCTTGAATATTTTAAATAAACCCCATTTTAGTCATGGTGTGTAATTCTTTATATACATTTTAAATTCTATTAGTTAGGATTTTAAAGAATTTTATGTCTATCTTCATGAGGGCTATTGGTCTGTAATTTTTTTTCTTTTTGTATTTTTTATCCTGGTTTTGGCATTCAGGTAATAATAGCATCATAGAATGAATTGGGAGCATTCTCTCCTTTTCTATTTTCTAGAAAAGACTATATAGAAATGGTATTAATTCTTCTTTAAAAGTTTGGTAGTATTCTAAGAATTCCTTTAAAGGTGTTCCTAAATGATGGATTTAATTTTATTAATAGTTTAGTGATATTCAAATTATCTATTCCATATCGGGTGAGTTTTTTTTAAGAATTGATATATTTCTTCTGAATTTATGTGTGTAGAGTTGTTAATAGTATTCTCTTAATATCCTTTGTATGGCTGAAGGATATCCCCTGTCTCATTCCTGATTTTATAATTTCTGCCTTCTCTCTCTCTTTTGTCAATCTAGTTAGAGGTTTGGTTGTTTTATTGCTATTTACAAAGAAACAATTCTTAGCTTCACTGATTTTCTCTATTATTTTCTCTGAATTTCATCTCTTGATTTTCATGTTCTTATCCTTATTATTTTCTTCCTTCTACTTGCTTTCGTTTTATTTTGCTACTCGTTTTCTAGTTTCTTGAGGTAGAAACGTTAATTATTTACTTGGAACCTTTTCTCTTTCCTAATGTAAGCATTCAGTGCCATAAATTTCCCTCTCAGCACTGGTGTAACTGTGTCCCACATGTTTTATGTGTTATATTTACATTTTCATTCAGCTCAATGTACTCTTTAATTTCCTTTTAAATGTCTCTTTTGACCAATGGATTATTTAGAAATGTCTTATTCAGTTTCCACGTGTTTGAACATTTTTCTGCTTTTTTTCTGTTTTCTAGTTTGACTCCCTTTTGGTCAGAGAGCATTTTCTGTATAATTGCATTCTTTTAGATTTGTTGAGGTTTGTTTTATGGCCAAGGGTATTATCTATTTTGGTATATGCTCCAAGGGCATTTGAAAAGGATGTGTTCATATTGTAACTGTTGAAGGAAACCTAAGGGAAGATGTCCAATCATAACCCATTGTAGGAGCAATGGTTCACATCTATGACTCCAATTCTCTGGACTAGGGACTGAAAGTTTGGGTCATAGAGAACGGCTCTCGAATGACATAGGAACCACATAGATAGAAGACATGCCCTGCCTCTCCCTGGTCCATAGTGTTGGGATCAAAGAAGGTCAGCAGCATAGCTTCAGGCTGATTCCAGCCCCAGGTGACCCAGAGAAGAAATCTCAAGGCTTTCTTAGGGCCAGAGCAGGTCTGATATGACTATATTTAATTTCTTGTGCTTTATGTAGACATACATTACTGCAGTCGGCAATAGTGTTCATCTTTCCCAGTTCTACTCAACACTCTTCAAAACAAGTAAAGGAGTATAGGGGAAGCAGGGAAGTTTGAAAAGCAAAGACAAACTCTCATAGTGGCTCCCTAGGATATTTGAAAAGCTTTTGAATCCAGATTTTGAGAATTGTTTTTTGAAATAATGCATGTTCGAAGCTAGTTTGATTGGAGCTAAGTGTACAAAAAAATGACATTTGCCTTTAAAGTTTTAAACTCTTTTGTGTCTTCCTCCCTCTAATAATATAGCACTAGACTTCATTTTCAAGACTTCTCTACACCTCTTCAACCCTCATCTCTTCAACCTCCCAACCGACTTTATCTCAACCACCCACATCTCACTCACCCAATGCTCTACCTAGTGAAAATACCCCTATTAAGGTAGCCCAAGGCTAATCTCACAAGACAC